ATCACTATAGAGTCAGCAGACATCAAAAGAGAATACTGTAAGCTCTACACACAGAAATTTGACAATTTAGATGAAACAAACTCCTCAAAAAATGCAAACTACCACAATGCCCTCGAAATGAAGTAGATAATTCAGATAGCCCTCTAACTGTTAAGAAAATTGAATTAAAAACCTTCCAAAAAAGAAATCTTCAGACTTAGATGGTTTCACTGGGAAATACTTCCAAACACGTAAACCAGAATTAACGCCAACTGCATACAATCTCTTCTAGAAACAGGAGAGAAGGGAACGGTTCTCAGTTCGTTTAAGTGGCTATTGTTATCCAGATACCAAAACCAGACAAAGGTAATTTTAAAAAAAGAAAAACTACAGGCAATATCCTTTGTGATTATAGATGTAAAATCCTTAATAAAATATTATCAAATAGAATTTAACAAAATGTAAGAATATTTGCTGCATCATTTGCAAATATTTTCTCCCAGTCCATGGGTTGTCTTTTTGCTTTGTTTGTGGCTTCCTTGCTGTGCAAAAGCTTGTAAGATTGATTAGGTCCCATTTGTTTATTTTTGCTTGTATTTCTTTTGCTTTTGGAGACTAACTAACGTAAGAAAACATTGCTACAATTTATGTCAGAGAATGTTTTGCCTATATGTTTTCTTCTAGGAGATTTATAGTGTCTTGTCTTACGTTTGTCTTTTAGCCTTGTACCTTATATAAAAATTAACTCATGGACTTAAATATAAAACATAACTATAAACTGTCAAACTTCTAGAAAAAAAGGCAAAAAAAAACCTTCAGGATCTAGAGCTATGCAAATTTCTTGACACCAGAAACATGGTCCAAAAAAGGGAAAATTTGATATATTTGACTCCCTGAAATTACAAATGTTTGTTCTGTGAATGGTCTGTTAAGAGGATGAAAAGCCAAGCTATAGACTGGGAGAAACTTTTTGCAAACAACATGTCTGGTAAAGGGCTGTTATCTAGAATATATAAAATACTCTCGAAACTCAGCAGCAGAAAACAAACAGTCCAATTAGAAAATGGACAAACGATAAGAAGAGATTAATTTCCCCCAAAGAGTATATACAGATGTCATATAATCACATGAAAAGATTTTAAACATCATTAACCATTAGGAAAATATGAATTAAAACCACAATGAGGGCTCACCAAGAAGAAAAGAGAGAGGACCAAAATAAAGTAAGAAATGAGAGAAAAGAAATCATACCACAGAAATACGAAAACCCATAAGAGAATACTATGACCATTTATATGCCAGCAAATTAGACAAGCTGGAAGAAATGGACGTTCCTAGAAACATACAGCCTACCAAAACTGAATCAAGAAAAAATAGATAATTTGAATAGACCAGTCACTAGAAGTGAAATCAAATCTGTAATAATTATAATTTTAAAACCTTCCTGCAACCGAAAGTCCAGGATCGGATGGCTTCACTGGGAAATTCTGCCAAACATGAAAAACTTATACTGATCCATCTCAAACTATTCCAAAAGATTGAAAAGGAGAGAACACCCCCAGAGTCATTCTGTGAAGCCACCATCACCCTGATACCAAAACCAGACAAAGACACTACCAAGAAGGAAAATTACAGCTCAGTATCTTTGATAAATAAGATGCAAAAATCCTCAACAAAATATTACCAAACTGAATCCAACAACACATAAAAAAGATCGTACACCATGATCAGGTTGGATTCATCCCTGGGTCACATAGGCAAATCAATCAATGCGATACACCACATCAACAAAAGAAAAGACAAAAACTGTGTGATCATTTCAATAGATGCAGAAAAAGCATTTGGTAAAATTCAGAATCCATTCATGATAAAAACCTCACCAAAGTGGGTATAGAAGGAACATATCTCAACATAATAAAAGCTATTTATGAGACCCACAGCCAGCATAATACTCAATGGTGAAAACCTGAAAACCTTCCCACTGAAATCTGGAACAAGACAAAGATGCTCACTCTCACCACTTCTATTCAACATAGTATTAGAAATCGTAGCCACAGCAGCAGACCAAAAAGAAAAAAAGAAATGAAAGATATCCAAGTTGGAAGGGAAGAGGTAAAATTTTCATCATATGCAGAAGACACGGTACTATTTATAAAACCTCCTAAAGACTCCACTGATAAACGAATTCAGCAAGGTACTGAACTGGAACTAATAAACTAATTCAGCAAGGTACCAGGATACAAGGTTACCATATGGAAATCTGTTGCGTTTCTTCACACTAACAATGAAATATCAGAAAAGGAAAGTTTTAAAAAATCCCCTTTAAAATCATGTCAAAAATGAAATAAAATACCTGGGAATAAACTGACCAAGGAAGTGAAAGATTTATATGCTGAGAACTATAAAACATTGATAAAGGAAAATGAAGATGATTCAAAGAAATAGAAAGATATCCCATGCTCTTAGATTGGAAGAATTAATATTGTCAAAATGGCTATACTACCCAAAGCAATCTAAAGATTTAATACGATTCCTGTCAAATTCCCCATGACATTTTTCACAGAACTACAACAAATAACCCTAAAATTTATAAGGAACCACAAAAGACCTGGAATTGCCAAAGCAATCCTGAGGGAAAAGAACAAAGCTGGAGGCATAACCCTCCTAGACTTCAGACAATACTACAAAGCTTCAGTAATCAAAACAGCGTGGCATTGGCACAAAAACAGACATATGGATGAATGGAACAGAATAGAGAGCTCGGAAATAAACCCCACACACCTGTATCAATTAATCTTCAACAAAGGAGGAAAAAATATACAATGGAGAAAAGACAGTCTCTTCAGCAGGTGGTGTTGGGAAGGCTGGACAGCCACATGTAAATCAGTAAAGTTAGAACACTCCTTCACACAAAAATAAACTCAAAATGGCTTAAAGACTTGAACATAAGAAAAGACACTATAAACCTCCTAGAAGAAAATATACAGGCAGAACATCCTCTGACATAAATTGTAGCAATGTTTTCTTAGGCTAGTTAGTCTCTGAAGGCAAAAGAAATAAAAGCAAAAATAAACAAATGGGATCTAATCAAACTTATAAGCTTTTGCACAGCAAAGGAAACCATAAACAGAGCAAAAAGACAGCCCATAGACTGGGAGAAAATATTTGCAAACGATGCAGCTGACGAGGGCTTAATTTCCAAAATATACAAACAGCTCATACAACTCAATATCAAAAAACAAACATGCCAATCAAAAAATGGGTAGAAGACTTAAATAGACATTTCTCCAAAGAAGACATACAGATGGCAAATAGGCACGTGATAAGATACTCAATATCCCTAATCATCAAAGGAATGCAAGTCAAAACTACACTGAGGTGTCACTTCACACCAGTCAGAATGGCCATCATCAAAAAGTCTACAAACGAGAAATGCTGGAGAGGGTGTGGAGAAAAGGGAGCCCTCCTACACTGTAGGTGGGAATGTAAATTGGTGCAGCCACTATGGAGAATAGTATGGAGGTTCCTTAAAAAGCTAAAAATAAGAGTTACCATATGATCCAGCAATCACACTCCTGGGCATACATCTGGAAAAGATACAAACTCTAATTCAAAAACTCTAATTCAGATACATGCAACCCAGTGTTCATAGCAGCACTATTTATAATAACCAAGACATAGAAGCAACCTAGTGTCTATCCACAGCTGAATGGATAAAAAAGATGTATATGTATATAATGGAATATAACTCAGCCATAAAAAGAATGAAATAATGCCATATGCAGCAATATGGATGGACCTAGAGATTATGATACTAAGTGAAGTAAGTCAGGCAGAGAAGACAAATATATGATATCATATGTGGACTCTAAAAAGAAAATGACACAAATGAACTTATTTACAGGACAGAAACAGACTCACAGGCATAGAAAGCAATCTTTTGGCTACCAGAGGGCAAGAAGAGGGGATAATTTAGGAGTTTGGGATTAATAGATACACACTACTATATATAAATTAGGTTAACAACCAGGTCTTGCTGTATAGTGCAGGGAGCTATATTCAATATCTCGCAATAACCTATAATAGAAAAGAATCTGAAAAAGAATAGCTATGTATATGTACAACTGAGTCACTTTGCTTTACACCTGAAACTAACACAACATTGTAAATCAACTATACTTCAATTAAAAAAAATAATAAAACACACACACACAGTGAGAATCTCTACACCCCTACCAGAATGGCTAAAATAAAAAATAGTGACAATGTGGAGAAACTGGATCACCCATCCATTACTAACAGAAATGTAAAATAGTGCAGACACTCTGGGAAATCTCTGGGTAGTTTCTTATGTGTAGTTTACTGTACAGAAATTATACCACAATAAAGCTGTGGGAAAAAAAAACAGGCATGCAACTACCGTACAAGGCATGATTGTACTCCTGTGCATTTATCCAAGAAGAACAGTAAGACTCCAGGCTCCAACCTACAGATGACTCATCCACCGTGGGAAGAAATAAGAAAAATAGTATCAACAGCAATAACTCCCAAGTAATAACTCTTGTCTAGTGGAGACCATTATTATCAGCACCCCCACTTTGTGGATGAGAAAGTTGAGGCTCAGAGACCTTTGTCAAGGCCACGCAGCTAGTATGTTGCAGAGCCAGTCTCTGAACCCAGTTAATACTAGTTAAGTAATTTAATCTTAGGTTGTCAGGATTGCCCCTTTCATAGGCGAGTAAGGAATGGTTTTAAGTAAGCCACCTTAAAGGTTAAGCTGGAGAGTCAGGAGGTTTCAGCCCCAGGCCACTCCGCCTACAGTGTTGGAGTCTGGTACCAGAGTTCTTGTGTCTAACGTTTCCTAACTTTCCCCCGGCCTCTTACACCCAGTCCCAGGGGAGCAGGCACCACCCTTTTCCTCCCGGAGGCGTAGGGAGAGGGCGGGTCCTCGAGCGCAGTCCCCTCCCCAGACCCTCCCCCGGACTATAAGCCGGAGCCGGGGACCAGGCGCCGGCAGTCCCCGGCTGGCCCGCTCAGCGGGGAGATCGCGCAGATGGCGGTGCTGGCGACAGTGGCCAAGAAAGTGTGGAGCGCGCGGCGGCTGCTGGTGCTGCTGTTCACGCCGCTAGTGCTGCTGCCGGTGGTCTTCGCCCTCCCGCCCAAGGTAACGCCTCCTCTGCCTGTGCGCCGCCAGTTCCGCCCCTGGGCGGGCTACACCACAGGCAGGACCCTCTTCTCCCGAGCGGCTGAGGCAGGACACTGCAGAGGTTCAGTCTAGACAGCTTTCAACAGACCCACTCCGCCCTCCAACACTCTCCCCTTTACCCTGCCTTGAACTGCTGTGAGCACCCCTAAGCCCTCTTCCCCCTTCTCAGCTGCTTCTTGGATCCTGGGTCCCACCTAGACTTCTGGATCTTCTCACGTCTACAGGAATGATTTCTCTTTACTGAGCTCTAACTTTGTACATGGCGCTGTGTTGCACATTACACTGGATATCGCAAGGAACACCTGATGAATGCCAGGCTGTGTGACCTCGGGCAAGTCTCTTAACCTCTCTGAACTTCAGTTTACTCATTTGTAAACATGGGAAAATGGTAGTGCCAATTCACTGGGTTGTGGTGAATATTAGATAAGGCAATATATGTAAATCTCTTAGAACTGAGCCTGGTACATAGTAAGTGCCTAAGAATGAGCTAGCTTGTCTTATTCCAGGTGCCTTATATGATGGGCACAGCCAGGATTTAGTAAATGCTAACTGGGAGCAAGGTGCAGGGCTAAACTTTGCTTTATGTGCATCATATTATTTAATCCAGACTGAAAGTGCCCCTCAGAGGGGAGGATTATTTACCCTATTTTCCAGAGGGGAAAGCCAGACTCAGAGAGGTGAAGTGACTTACTCAGTATCCTTCAGCAAGTAGCTGAGTGGGGATTCAATCCCTGGTTTATCAGAATCGAGAACTTGAGCTGTTTCTAGACTCTCAAAAAACGTAATCTCTAGAAGATCAAAGGCTGCAGATTGAGGTCAGGAATGTCACAACAAAAATCACCAACCGGGGCTAAAAGGAGATGATACTGCAGGTCCCTATTGAGTTCCTTACCTGTGCCCAGCCCATCCCGAGCATCATGGGAGGTTACGAAGCTCATTAGACAAGGCTTCTACCTCCAGGAAGTTGCTTCATTATCCCTCAGTGAGATAGTAAATGTTCATAAAAATGAAAGTAAAGAGAGAGTGTAATTTAGTGACAAATTACCTAGCACCACCAGCAGAGACCAAGTGAGCTGGGAGAGGTGTTCAGAGAGGGCTGCCTGGAGGAAGGGGCCCTCCTTGGGCTGAGGGAGTGAGGAAGTGATACTAAGAAGATGATGTCAGGGAGATCCAGGGCAAGTTCTTTCACGTGGAATTATCCAAGCGATTAAGCTTTCTTGACATGGAAGAGAAAAACAATAAATGCTAGCCTGAGGACTAGGTTGCTTACTTAGAAACCAGCCCACCATGGGCTTGGACCAGTCTCCTTGCTTCTTTGGGTCTCACCGTCCTTGTCTGTAAGGGGCAATCACCATGCTAGCTTCTGAGACTTGATGTGAGAGGTTAAGTGAGGAAGCTGCCTCTCTTTGTGAAGCATCACTCGTGGAAGGATGGATGGGTCTGTGAGCTCTTGGGGAAGAAGTAATGAAACACACACAGGGGCTCTCTCCTCAGCGGGGAGTTCTGAAAGCTGCTCTCTGCTCTGACCTCTAGCAAGATCTGTGACCCCAGGAACAGGTTCAAGTGTTATGGGGCCTAAAGCATATACTATGTGAGGGGCTCTCTTTAAGAAAAAGCATACAGATTTACAAATACAAAATTCAGTACAGGGCTAGGGAGTGACTCTGAAGCTTAAACTTCATTCCCTTCACAATGACTCCACTTCCACATGAACCCCGATGGGCACAGGTAACAGTGAATGTCTGTGACCCACTGCAATGGTAGTAAGCCTGATAAGTAAGGTGTTTTATTGAATGCTGAACTCTTACTCTCTGCCAGGTGCCATGCTAAGAGTTTCTCAGGCATTATCCTATATAATGTCCACGTAACCAGGGAGGCAGCAGCTATTAGCATCCCTATAGAACAGGTGAGGAAATGGAAGCTCAGCAAGGTTGGGTGACTTGCCCAAGGTCACACAGCCTGTACAAAGCCAGAATGTAGCATCTGTACTTCTAACTGCTGCACTTTATATTCTGTTCTTAGCTATAATTGGATAAGAACCTCTCCTGGTTCCGTACAGATCCCCAGTAGGGACTCGGTTTGGCCCTAGATGTCACTGCCTCTTTAAATGACTGATAAACCAGGGCCTTTTCCTGGGAGGTAGGTCTGGCTTCTTGGGAGATCTTAGCCTCCCTCAAAGTCTATTAGCACACTCAAATCCCCCTCCCCCATATAATATGTGTATATTTATTATATTATTATATTTTTGGATATTAATAACTGACATGTTTCCTAATCTTATGTACAATGTGAATGAAAGCATCCTTAGAGTATATTGAGTAGAGAAAATTGCTGTTTTTATTGATCTGTGACATACATTTAAAGCAGAGTGAGTGTGCTATGCAAACATAGTTTCAAGACAATTCCTGTAATCTTAACCAGTTTTAATCCTGTGATAACTTCCCCAAACAAAGGCTAGTAGTCTAAAAAAACATGGTGCAAATGTAGCTTCAAGGCAGGTGTCCTCAGTGTCCATCCCCACTCCCAGCAGCAGATTGCCGCTTTTAAGCCTGTCTTACCTAGACATTCTGGAACCACCAGTGCCTGTCATAGAGCACATATGGGTTCCCAAAACTTGCAAAACTGCCGATATCAGATCATGAAAGAAGTTTGAGATTCTTGGCATTTGCCATTTGCCCCTCTTTGGTTCCTGATTTTCCAGCCGTTGCTGCTCTGATGTTCTAGAAGTCTGTGTGATTGAAACGGCTGGTTCTCATGTACCTATCCCCTGGTAACTGGTGAGCTGTTCTGCAGGGAGGCTGGGGTTAATCTGAAGGTTAGAGTTGGGGTGGGGGCAGCGGGGGATGGGAACAATTCTTACATTATGTCCTCCTGGCTTGGAAGTCTGTCAGCAGGGGTGAAAAATAGTGGGATGCATTTCTGGAATGCAGTGGCTGCAATTTCCAGCGCCATTAGGAACTGTGGCTCTTGCCACAAAGAGTGCCAGAGATTTAGGAAGTCAGGATGCTGCTGGAGGGACCACCTCAGCTGCCTTGGGTGGCAAGTGGGGACAGATGAAACTGTTAAATCGGGCTTGCAAATAAGCACTAGCCACATGTGTTTGCCGAGACGTCTTGCCTCCTTTCCCACGTTACACCTGCTGAAAACAAATTTAGCTGGACTGATCATCTGGCCAAGATGAGTTCCAGTAGTTACTCACCGGTAACTCTTTCTAAGGATGCTTTGAGGAAGAGGAGTTTAGAGGAAGGGTGGGAGGGGAGGGCTCTGGGCAGGACTGCTGCAGAGTGTTGCGCAGGCTGACTTCAGAAGGCAAAAGGGGACTGAACCAGCTTGCACTCCACAGTCTGACCCATGCACCCTGGTGCAGTGCTGGATCCACCTGAGGAAGAGCCCCTTTTCCCAGTTTGCACAAAGGCGTCAAGTCTGGCTAGCAGACTTGTCCTGGGTGGCAGTACATCCATAAGGTCAGAGGCCCACTTTTTTTGCGTTTGCCTAATTCTTGGGTGGGGGAAATGTAGGTGGGTAACCAGGAAAATGGTCACTTCATTCCCAGTTTTGAGTCTTCGGAATCAGAACTGGATTCTCATTCCACATACTTGTCTGTGATCTTGGGCGAGTCATTTGACTTCTCTGGGCCCCAGTGTCTTCATTTATAACATGCCCATAATATCGCTTTACTCTCTGGTTATTATTTGGGCCCAATGAAATCATATATTGTGCTTGCACCATAACGTCTTACTTTTTGATTCAATACTCAAGGTCTGTTTTAACTCTCCTATTTTGTAGGTGAGGAAACTGAGACTCAGAAGTTAGAGGATGGCAAAAGTCGGGGCCATAGACTTGGGAAGACCTGAGTTTGGGTCTTGGCTCTGAAACTGTGAAACAGGGAGCCTGGGTGGGAGACTGCCTCAGTTTCCTCATTTGTGAAGTAGGGAGGACTCACACTCCCCCAGAGGGCTACTATGAGACCTAATTAAGAGAAGAGACAGAAATTGTCCAGTGCAGTGTCAAAACAGGGTAGGAGTTTATAATAATAATAATTGCTAAAATAATTTCCCATTTGCCCCACCATGTTCTACATGTCTTTCACATTTTAGTTCATTTACTCTTCACATCAGCCTTAAGAGTAGGAATAATGATTATCCTCAATTTTACAGATGAGGAGAGTAAGGCTCAGAGAAGGAAGTAGGTTGCCTGAGGTCTCACAGTGAGCTGTGAGTGACAGGGTGGGAGTGAGCACCTCCATCTCCTTCTTGCCAGTGATCCCCCATCTCAGGCTCCCAGGCATGAGTGTTTTATTCTATTAACATTTCATATCATCTCTGAAGCCTAACTTCTAGATAAGGAGTGAGAGGAATCAGAGGTCTAGCTTCCTTATTTTTGTTCAATTATAGTAACCCGCCAAGACAAGATAATAACAGCTAATATTTATTGATTACTTACTAGAAGTTCTGGTCCCCCCCTCTCTCTGTACTGGCCACACTGGCCTTCTTGCTGTTCCTTAAATTTCCCAAGATTGTTCTCACCCCAGGGCCTTTGCACTTGCTGTTCCCACTCTCTGAACTGCTCTTCCCCCAAATATCTGCAGGCTTTACTCCCTCACTTCATTCATGTTAGTTCAAAGATGAACCTCCTCAAAGGCCTTCCCTGACTCACATAGAAAACAAATCCTAAAGGATTCCCTGGCTTATCTTGCTTTATCATTGTCTGGCCATATAGTATGTGTTTAAGGAATGGGCAAGTCAGAATAAGCAGGCTTAGCATTGGCTAGTTCAAATAATTTCAGTAGGCTCTGAGACATAGAGGCTGTCCCTAGTTGTCTGGCACCCTGCTCTAGGGTGATTAGGTCAGTTAGATAGTGGCCTGGAGTGAGAGAGCCCAGTAAAATAAGGTGGTTTTGGTGGAGTGGGCTCTGGATTGGCTGGTTTACATTCAAAAAGCTGATGCACAGGTGAGTT